GAATGTGGAGGGGGTAGACTTAGTTTTAATAAAGTGGTCAAAAGTCAAACAGGCAGTTCTTTTAACCAAATTGTAGAAAATCGTAGAAAAAGTAAAGTATGCTACTCGTTTATAAACTTTTCTAGGCACTCATTTTATTAAACACTCGCTCGCAAGTTTTCTACTACCCCTTTAATACATACATTATCGTATGTACCTATAGGTATATATGTTTTTCTACTCCCACCTTTAAACGCCCTTTATCGTACATGTTTCCATGACACTAAGTGACCTTTTAAATACACATTGACAAGTTGTGGCTTTATGGCGCTTTAGTCAAGTTAGTTTTAAGTTAGTTGGCAGTTGTCAAATGTCGTTAAATTAAAGTGCCTTTCTTGTAAAGTAATACCAAATGTGAAAATTATTTTATTATCTCAATACAAAAATACAAAAGTATTAAATACCTAGTTTCTCAACGCCAATATTTAAAAAGTTTATATGAACATTGTACTGACCTTTTAATTTCGCCGGCAGTAAACTATAACTTAAATTCGGGCACGGGCTCCACTGTAAAGTGCTCATAAAACATTTTCTTTACTTTCACTGTGAAAAACTGTCAATTTTCAAGAAATACATTTCGATTTATAACCTTTATAATCTGTGTTTATAAAATATAAAAATTTGACATTTGACGGTGACACACAGATTCCCCTATTGTTTGATAGATGGCGCTCTATACAAATTTTTGATTTAAATCATTTTAAGATAATAATAAGTATTTGTCGTAGAAAAAGTATAGTATGCACCTTGTTTATAAACTTGATACATAATATACTATTCCATAAACCTAAGTGATCTTTTAAATACTTACACTACACTACAAGCAGTGGCGTTTTAGTCACAGGCTTAACTAAATCATCGTGACTAAAATGCCCTTTAAACTTGTTACATAATATATAATTATTGGCTTGTAAATAATAAAAATATCCATAATATCTGAAAAATATAATGTATACTATAGCATTGTTTTAAACATAACCTACTGGGATAAACCTTTTTTTAATTAAAACTCGATTTGATTGCTCGAAAATCGACCAATTGAAAACCAATAACTTAGCTATTAATTAACGATAATTAGAAAAGTTTCTCCATTTACTCTCAATGACTGGACACAGTAGTTGGGTAAGGGAGCGTAGGTGGTCAAAAAACAAAAACAACTCCATTGTTCCACAGTTAACGGTTAGTTTCACAGCGAAACAAAACTTTTGTTTAGTTTAGTTTATCGAAAGTTGCCATAAAACAGTGGCGTATCAATATTTTTTGTATTTGATTTTGTAAGTACATAACGCGGGTTGAATATTGTATTGTTCTATCAGCAATTTTGGCGGAAAATGAAATTTTTACACGAAAATGAAGGTTTAACGAATATCTATATATCTAAATAAGTATCACTGTTAAATATAGCCCAGAAATACTAAAAACGACATTATTATTTTGTTCTATGTGCAAAATTCAAATATAATTAACTATTATAATGTTCTAACAAACCATTCGATTAAATTGGCAGTTTAAGGAATTACGTCGTAGGCTTTTGGTGATTTAAGTGATTATTTTATTTAAAAATAAATGATTCTGTAAGTTCAAAAATACAATATTATAATAAAATAGTTATAAAATACCCAAATAAAACTTATTAGCTTATTTCTACGAATTTGTTTGCTTTAAAACATGCTTTTAGAACTTTTTTTCAAACTATATTTTTTAGTTGTTGTTCAACAAGTTTAGACGTATTCGAAAATAATCATTTTGTGCATCAAATTGAATACTTTGAAGATAGTGATAATTCCTGTGCAGATCCAGATTATGTGGCTTTAGATTCAAATGAAGCAACTTTGAAATCACATGCAAAATGTGGTAATATAAGAAAATCCTAATCTACTTTTTTATAATTTTGTATTGGTTTGTGTTTTGTTTTTAGACCTGAGTATGGCGATCTATTTTCACCATGTTGATTGATACCAGATATTCGCAATGCACCTGAACTAAAAAAATGTCTCATGTCTTTTGCTAAAGTTGCTGATCTAACCAAATTATTTAAGTTTATGCCGCCTGTTGATATAATTTTTAAAAAACTTTTTTTAAACAACTTAATAATGCTGCTGTATTTGCAAATGAGAAAAAAAGACAATAATTAGTTGTTGAGTTGAGTTATCATAAATAATTGGTATTAATTAAGCCTTGTTTTTTTTGGAATTATCTTTTCGATTTTTCACCCTATACTGTTAGAACATTTTGGAACGTTTTGTAAAATTTTGAAAAATAATAAAACAAAAATGTTCTATTAGCAATTGTTTGATTATTATTATTATTATTATTAACATTTTTAGTTAACCAAAATACTAAAATTAAGTGCACTAAGCACTATGCACTAGCTTACTCGCGTTAAGTACAAAATATCTTTACAAACTTCAATAATATTAATATTCGAAATTTGAAAACTTGATTTTCAAAAAATTAGTTTTATTCTATTAGAACAATATAAATATTCTTTTGGATTATAATATTGATGAATATTGCAATATGGCGAAAACAAGATCTGATTTAGTCTAAATCATTTAGATATAGATTTATCCCAACCAAACTACCTGGAAACAATTTTATATTATATTTTTCCTTTAAAAAAGAAAAACTTGTTCTATTCGCGGGTGGCACTTTTCTGACTAAATACACTCACAGGCAAAATAATCGATCCACACAAATCTTCGATGAATTTCAATCGCAAATAACTTTTTTATTTGTAAACATTCAATTTTCTTAGTTTCTTTAAGAAACTTTCTTGACCCATCACTGGTAATATTCATAAGAATATAAGAAAAAAATTGAACCTACACCTCGCCAAAGTTTTTCGTCGAAACAGCTGTCTGTCGGTATTTGAAGTTGGTGGAACGCATTCGAAACAAAAAACTTTGGCGAGGTGTAGGTTCAATTTTTTATTTGTTTTCGGGTTTAAACAAATATTAAAGAATATTGTAGATACATTAGTGGAGAATCGCTCACATTTTAAAAATTACTAAAAAATACACGTACGTTTATAATAAACATATGCATATGTTTTTTACCATAAGTTTAAAACACTTTGTAGAGTTGTTATTGTTCTTAATTAAGTTTTAATTATTAAGTCACATCTATTTTTAACAGTTTTGTTTTTGGTTCACCTTGATATATTTAATTTGTGGAAAATATGAATTTTTAAAAAAAACATTGCAATTTCCAATATTTTTCCTGTATGAAGAACTAAGGTTGCTATGGTCCATCCATAGCCAATGGAGGATGACAGTGACAGTTTTGTTGAATCATCTCATACTTGGACTTTTCATATACAGCTTTCTAAAGCTATCGAATTGTTTTTTGTAAATTAATGTGTTAATTTTGAGGTGTCTTCTTACTTTTAAAAATGTCTCCGACTGATGTTGCCCTGTTGTACTTTACTTCTTGTGACGTTTAAAACACTTGCCACGTAATACTGTGACCGTCCATCCTGGATTAAATTAATGGCTCTAGCAACATCATTCGGAGACATATCCATTTTTTAAAGTAAGAAGACACCTCAAAATTTAAACATTAATTTGCAAAAAACAATTTGATAGCTTTTGAATACCTTGTATGACATGTCCAAGTATGGGATGATTCAACAAAACTGTCACTGTCATTCTCCATAGCCTATGGGTGGACCATAGCAACCCTAGTTCTTCATACATAAAAATATTGGAAATTGCAATGTTTTTTTAAAAAATCCATTTTTCACAAAAATAAATATATCGAGGTGAACGAAAAACAAAACTGTTAAGAATAGATGTGACTTGATAAATAAAACTTAATTTAGAACAATATACGGTTTTGCCACTCTACAGAGTGTCTTAAACTTATGGTAAAAAACATATTTTTGTTTAAACCTGTTTATTATAAACGTAAGTCTATTTATTAGTAATTTTTTAAAATGTGAGCGATTGTCCATGAATTTATCTACAATATTCTTTAATATTCGTTTAAATCCGACATTAAATAAAAAAGTTATTTGCGATTGAAATTCATCGAAATTTTCGATGAATTTCAATCAAATTTAATTTGTGTGGATCGATTATTTTTCCTGTAAGTGTATAATAAAATAGGTACTTCTACATTAGGGTGGGCCGATTTTATATTTAACTTCTAAAATTTAAAAATATTAAATTCTGCATTTAAGAAAAAGTTGTGAAATAGGAAAGTAAACATTTTTTGCAAAATATTTCTAAAATATCTATATGTTTTGAACTGCCGCAACGCCTCTAAAAATTTAAAAGTAATTTTTAAAAATTTAAAATTATTCATAAGCGGGAAAGTTGTGAAATAGGAAAGTAAACTATTTTCCTTTAATATTTTTTTTCTTTTTTAATATTTTGAAATGTATGAAGTCAAACTGTAAATTTTAAATTTTGCAATTATTGGAGAATAAATATTTTTTAAGATTTTCGTGTTTGACGTAGGACAGTTGACAGTTGGCTTCACTGTATATATAAATTATAATATTTTGACATCGGCAATTAGTTGAATAATAGAAATTTTTACAAGTAAGTAGTATCTGTTTGTGAAAAATGGCAGGTAAAACAGGATTGTAAATTGAATTAAATTTGTGTTGATGATAAATTCATTTTTATTTAAATAATTATCATTCAAAACTTTTTTTAACCCTATTTTCTCTCAGATAATTTTTTTTGTATTTATAACGATACTAAGATCTTTCAAGGCCTTGCGGCAGTTTAAGAAATTAAAATAAAAAAAAACTCTTATAATATTTTTCTGGCCTTATAAACGCACAACTTTTCCACCATTGCACAATTTGATATTTAAAAAATATTAAAATCGGCCCACCCTATTCCACATACCAATAGCACCATCAATTTATTGTTTTTTTATTATTTAAAAACTGAGCAGAGGGATAGGGGGTAAATTCTTGATACGCCACTGGCAAAGAGGTCCGGGAGTCACGTAGCAGATCGGCCACGAAACAAAGATTGATCTTCGGACATTTTTTGCGCGCTATTTTGTTTGAGATGCGTTCCGGTTTTCCTAAGCAAAGCTGATAAAGATTTTACTAAATCACCTTTTCGTTTGCCGGCCTGCCCGCTGCCATGAACCACACGTTTTTTATTTACCCCCAAGTTTAAATAAATAAAGAGCTTAAAGGGACATGAAGAGCAAATAAGGGATCACAAGGAAGAAGTTCTTTATCCTTTTTTTGTTTATCTTGATAAATAGCAGAAAAACAGTTTCCTCATGAATTTAAATTATTTATTAGTATTATAATTATGATTTTTTAACAAGTTTGTGGTTTGTTAATTTTATTTTGTAAAATTTTAACATATTTTTTTGTAGAAAACCAGGGTTTGTAATTATTTTAACAAAGAACGTTTTATAAAGGTAATATGCAATTTAGTAAAATCACTGGTTTTCAAACTGAAATTAGTGGGGATACAGTGAAGTGGGTTAAAGTTACGAAATACGTCAGTAAGTGTTGTAGTAGTACTGATAATAATTATAATATTGTACCAAATTTCTTTATAATTTTAGAATGGTGTGTTATTTAATTTTGTGTAACTTATTTTTGTGATCATTTATGTAGGTATGTGTTAATTTTTTTGTTTAGGAAATTTATTAATAAGGCAACATTTTTAATCAAAATTTTTTTCTTTTAAGTTCTCAATTTCCAACAAATAGTTTTGTTACTGGGTCTACAACAAGGTTTGGAAAAATAAGGTCCTTTTTGAAAGTTACAAGAATTATGGTTGAAATATTGACAGAATTTTGTTATTAAATCTAAAAAATGTTTGTTATAATTACAACTACTTATTCATTAAAAGAACAGATTACAGTTGGTTGTAGACTTACATGTATATAAAGTTATGTAGACCTGAATTAACATAAAATCTGGTTAATATTTGGTTAAAATAAAAAAAAACTGTGTAATTATAATAACTATTAAGAGATGGATGGATAATTTTTAGTCAGATTACAAAAAAAAAATCGGAAAAAATATTTTTAGGGGGTAAGGGAGTAATTCGTCACATAACCCTTTAGGGGGTCTTTACATCTTCACGCTCCGTCACGAGAAAGTTGGAGGGGTTCAATATTGCCCATTTTCAGCGTCAAGAGATTTATCATCTTTTTTCTACTCCCACCTTTAAAACGCCCTTTATCGTATATGTTTCCATGACACTAAGTGACCTTTTAAATACACATTGACAAGTTGTGGCTTTATGGCGCTTTAGTCACGGGCTGATGTTAGCAACAGGTTTTTAGTCATGGGCTGAAGTTAGTTTTAAGTTAGTTGACAGTTGTCAAATGTCATACAATCGTTAAAATAAAGTGCCTTTCTTGTAAAATAATACTAAATGTGAAAATTATTTTATTATCTTTTAATTTCGCCGGCAGTAAACTATAACTTAAATTCGGGCACAGATTCCACTGTAAAGTGCTCATAAAACATTTTCTTTACTTTTACTGTGAAAAACTTTCAATTTCTTCGATATCCGCCCCGGATCTTATCCATGCTACGCCACTGTGTAGAACCCAAAAATTAAAAAAATTCAGTGTGTTTTATATGAAATAAGACCCCTGAATGTTATTGGTTATTATTTTAGGTTACACAACTTTTTCTAGAACGTGGACGTCCCTGTACATCACTTGGCTTAGGTAGCAGTTATACATACATATTATATTATACTCACTAATATAGCCATCAATATTAAATCATTGTCGTTCTATACGCGCTGTGGCAACATACGGCCAGGAAGGCATGCAATATACTATAGCTGCATAGATATGGTTAATTCCATGCTATACTGCACCGTTACCTAACTTGAGTGTACGCTGAGATAACCATGTTTAGTTTATTTCACAATTTTTTAGCAAACACAACTGTAAAGGTTCTAAAATGGCCCTTTATAAACGTGCCTTTACTGAAGGGTATTTCCATTGTAACGGGTGCGACACTAAAACTGCGTTTTTTCATGATAATAAAGTGTTTGTTCATATATATCAAGATACGTTAATATAAAAAATAGTATAAAAAATTAGGTATTTAACTCAAACAAAATGTCAATAGAAACTTGTATAGAAAACCTTTTATAACGTCATGAATAAAGTAACGGGCGCGACCTTAGAAACGCGACCAAGTTGGCTTCTAAAGTTGATACTGTAAAATTATGGATGAAAGCATATCGGCCATTTCAAGCGCGCGAAACGCACGAATTACAAAACTCTTTTTATAAAAAAAATTGTAGATTATTTATTATATACTATTTTGGGATGAAAATTGTCAAAAATATTCTTCTTTTATTAGGTTATACATTAAATAAAAAAAAACGCAAGAAATATTTTATAAAAGTAGATATAATTTTAATAATTGAAAGGTGTGGATGGGACAAAAAATAGAATTATCTTGTCCCGTCCACCCCTGTTAATTATTGAAATTATCTCTACTTTTATAAAATATTTCTTGCGATTTTTTTTATTTAATGCATAGTCTAATAATAGAAGAATATATTTGACAATTTTGATGCAAAAATAATATATAATAAATTACCTACAATTTTTTTTATAAAAACAGTTTTGTGATTTGTCCCGTCCATCCGCTTGAAATGGCCGATATAGTAATAATTTTTTGTGTAAAACCTGAATAGTAACCTTAAACAAGCACGTATTTTAAATGCACAAATATTGTATACTTTATTTTCTAAAATTTTTTCAAAATGTAACGGGTGCGACATTTGAACATTTTATCGAGTATTGAAACTCTTCCGTATTTATTCTTAATGTTGGCTTCTTAGCATCACAATGTACGAATATTTTAAGGTTATAAATTACGTTGCAATTAAACTATTTGACTTCATATCAGATATAGTTTTTATTTTGTTAAATAGCACATCTGATTTTTTGTCAAGGTGTGGTAAGGTTTCGTGGAAATGCCCTGATCTAAAGGCCCTATAAAGGCTAACTCTAATGGAACCGTACATATCATGTCGCGTTCACCTTTAATGGGCATGTAACGGCAGTCACTTAAAAGAATTATTCCATTTTTTGATATGGCGCGCTAAAGGTTCTAGTATGGCAGATTAAAGGTACAAATGTGGCAAGCCAAAGTTTCTGATATGTGGTGTTAAAGATTCTATAGAGGTTATTTAAATAATTTTAATGGATAAGTAAAGTATCTATTATGGTGGATTGAATGTGGTAGGTATATATTTGTCAGAGATTAACGAGGGCAACTAATATAAAGTTATTTACTAAAACACGTAGTCAGATTAATCTGCACAGAACAAAAAATTAATAATAATCGTCCCAAACTAATTATTAGCTATAAAAAGGAAACCAACGATCCGCGACCCGCTAGATCAACAATAGTCAATCAAAAATCAATTCAGAGATTCAACTTGTCATAAGAAGAATCAAGAACACTCTGTCCCGGGCTCGTTTCGTTCGCAAGCTTATCTTGGCGGTTTCCATAAAAAAAACTAGGGGGCGTACCCTTAACACATTTTATACATTTTAAAAACTACAACTATTTTGTCTAGACAAATTCACATAAATTATATCAACTAAAATAAACGTATCGTATTAGTATTAGACTTAATCATAAACACCCAATACGAGGAAAATGACATTCTCCACATGCTTGGGACTTTTTGTTTAGCCTAAATATCCTCACACAAATCTTATCAACAAAAATAAACGAAAGGGTGAGAAAGAATCATGAGCGTACACCAATAATTAATAAAGGCGCCGACATATTTATTAAATAAGGATATTTCACGATAATCAGAAATTGACATTAGTTCTTTAAAAATGAAATAGTCAAAATTCTACTATTTGAATTAGTACCAGCATTTTTTACTTTACTTTAAAATAGTCGTTTTCACTTTAAAATAGTTATTTTTTACTACGTAAATAGTTTTAATAATTTAAGATTAGTCACCATCTTTGACTATTTCTGAGAGTTAAAAGTAACTAATTTCTTTAATCGTTTGCAGCCAACAACAAAGTATTATTTGAATTAAATGCTCCATGGTTAAATGAACCATAAAAACAAATAAAGATGCAAAAAGTGTACACAGAAAAAAATCAAGAACAGCGCTGTCATTGAATGCATTAAAATTGAAGCAATCTAAATTGTTATTTGCTCAATTAATTACTATTAAACCAAAATAGGGAAATATTTTGCCTAAATGTCAAAGAATTTATTGCGTTAAATGTATACATAGTATACATACAATAGTAACGTTATTAAATAAATCAAATTAGTATTTAATGCAATAACATTCTAACAAATAAATATCAATATGAATATCAATAGATTTAGGAGCGATAACTTTTGTTGTTAATTTAAAAACAGTAAACGATTATAAATCAAGTGCTAACTACCTATTGGTATTATAGGAACTGTTATTCAGGAATACGGATTACAAGATCCCATTGGTTTAATGGCTCACCCATTCATGCTGTGCTAGCGTTTTTTCTGTGTAGCTCAAAACAGCAACACAAATAATATATTGAACTTTAAAATAATATGAACAATATTTATTGAAAAATAAAATTTATTTTTATAAGAGCGGCTGACAGCCGAATGGGTTATGACAACAGCTTAACAAGCTTGGCAAGTAACAGACCTGAGTTCAATCCCCGGCTGGGTCAAAACTTTTTTAAAATTAAATCTACTAATTTGACTATTTCATTTAGTAGAATTTGACTAATTATTAGTGACTGCTTTTTCGCTATGACAATTAGTCAAATAATTAGTTATTTTTGACTAATTCATTTTAAGTGGATACTATTATTAAATCATTCCTGTAAAGGCTCAGAACAAAAAAAGCTTTGGCTAAAAATGCCATTATTTAGCCATGAAACTCTGTAATGGGCCATTACATAGTCAAACTTATGTGTTTGCTGGGAAGCTTATTAGGCTGCCTAATTTAGGCAGCAGGATCACTCATCGAATGAGCGACCTTAAAATTAATTTTATAAATAAAATAATATGTTTATATTTTTCTCAGTGTACGTGTAACTCTCTCTCTCTCTCTTTATCTCTCTCTCAAATTGTCCTGTATGTGATATGTTTAGTATATAAATTCCGCGATAACAATTCTATACGTCGACATGCCCGCTTGGTGGAGATTATTTAATT